GAGAGGAAGAGTGCTGCTCAATAGTGATACTTTCACTACTAAATTCTCTTCAAAGCCACAGAATCATAGAATTTCTGAGACTAAAGAAACCTCACAGGTTATCTCATCCAACTCATGCCTCTCTATACCATACTGGACAAGTGGTCAACAAGCCTTTGCTTGAAGACCCCCAGTGATGGGGAACCTGATACCTCCCCAGGCAGCCCATTACACTTTTAGATAACTCTAATTGTTAGGAATTTTAAAAAAAAACCACTTTAATTAGATCAAGCCCAAATCTGCCTCTTTGTCACTTGAACGAATGAATCAAAAAACATTTAAGCATTCACTACGTGCCAGTTATTGATCTAAAAGGCTGAGGATACAAGTACAAAAGGGTGACAGCATGTGCCCTCAAGGACCTTACATTCTCACAGGGGGAAGCAACACATACAAGGAGTGATTGGTGGTTAGGGAAAGGAGTTTTGGGGGAGTCTCCAAAGGAAGGGGAGTATGCACAACAAGGAAGATAGTAATGGCAAGATGACCAAGGTGGAAGACCAAACTGAGTGTGAAATATGGTCTGATCTGGTTGTTGGTCTGAGACTGGCTAGATATACCGAGCTGGTTGTGTTTGTGCTTACCAATCAAGATAACTTTGTCCCAGGGTGGGAATTACAAAATTAAGAGGTAACTGAAAAATTAATGATAACACATAAAAGGGAGCTGAAAAGTGGGGAGATGGGGAGAGAATGCAAGGCAGAGAAGTCTAGAAAGTCAGAAGCATAGCCAAGAAGGGAATGGAGGATGGCCATCCTAGATCTGTTCCCAAAATGGAAGTCCTCCCCCACCCAGTTGGCATGGAAGAGGGATGTCCCACAGTGAGAAGGCTGAGGGGAGTTCCAGGGTGAGAAGGCAAGTGTCAGATTGAGCACACCTTTGAATGCCAGGGATAGGAGCTTGAATTTCACTTGGTAGGCACTATAGTATTGTGACAAAAGTCCTGAACTGGGAGACGACTGGATTCTAATCCTTGATTTCTAATTAAAGTGCTGTCTCATTTGGAACTGGACCCAGCTTCCTCATCTGAAAAATAGAGTGGTCTGGATCAAATGGTTTCCAACATCTCTTCTAGCTCTAAAACTCTATCATTCTGGTATCTCCTAGTTAACCTCAGGTCTTTCTAACCCTTCCCCAGAACACTCTGGGTCCCTATTTATCATTGTTCTCTATGGCCACCAATGCTGATCTTTTAATGTCTGCCCCAGGGGTGGGGAACCTGTGGCCTTGAGGCCACATGTGGCCACGGAACATTTGTTCTGTGAAGTTTGGATTCAGTCAAAGGACCCCACTTGAGGACCTAGAGGGCCACATGTGGCCTCAAGGTCACAAGTTCCTCACCCCTGGTCTACCCCTTTCTCCCTCCTAAGATCCACAACCCTTTGACATCGTGCTGGGCAACCAATTTTTGTTTGTTTTTAACTTTTAGGACGAAGGGCATGTGTTTTTATTAACATGTACTTGCTTCAGACAGTAGGATCCTCTTAGCTGATCAGATAGCATATGCAAATTGGCTGTGTAGACAGATTGCAGCCATCTGTATCAACTCTGTCTTTATGTTCCAAAAGCCCCTTCTTTCCCCCTCCTCCCATCTACCCCAGCCCTTCAGGAAAATTGCCATGATGTTCATACCTGAACAGAAAGCAGATCTGAATAATTCCCTCCCCATAGCAAGGTTGAAACACAAGAATTGAAGCAGTTCTCTAAATCTTTCCATTGTCTATCTTAGACTCCAAACATCTGGCAGCAGGTATATAAACAAAGAACAAAAGGAGAAACTCTGTGTTGTTCTGCTTCCTAAATTACTTGAAAATCTGAGACAAGTCCGACCTGCCAGCCAGAGGCTTGGAAATTAATGAATAAAAGTGGGTTATTACTAAAATCTTGCTTAAATGATATTGCCCCCCAAAGTAGTTATGATAAAGGAAGGAAGCTTCCTGAATCAAAGTACATCATTTGCTCTTAATGGGGTGCAGGAAGGAAGTGGGCAAATTGATGCTAGCTTAGAAGACTTCTGTGGCTGCCCAAGATGGTTAGTAGTCCCATCCCTGAAGTAACAATTTCTGACTCAGTGGAAGTTTGGTTCAGTAGAATAAACTAAGTTTACCCAGCTGGCTTTGTTTATCATGTCCCAAATGGGAGGTACTCTGCTTCTTAGAAAACCAGAATTGGGCATCTTGGTTCTCCTTGCCCAACCCAGAATGGAAAGATCCTTGGAGTTTTAACAACAAAGCCATGTTTCTCCCAAGCGTCTTCATCCATCGTGTAAACTTACACACTGTGTGTTCTCCTTCAAAGCACTAAGATGAGGGTAGTTGGACTAGCTGATGACTAAGCAGGTCAAGAGACAGTGTGGTACAGTGGAAGGAAAGTTGGATGTACAGTCGAGGATGTGGGTTTCAGTCGTTCTGGCTCTGCCACTTGGATCTTGGTTGACCTTCAGTAAGCCATTTGTGGACCTCAGTTTCTGGATCTGGGATATCTGGGGATTGAATTTAGGTGACTTGTAAGGTCCCTTCCACAGCTAAATTGAATTTATGAATCTGTAAGGTCCTTCCTGGGGCAGCTAGGTGGCTAGTGATTAGAGTGCTGGGCCTGGAGCTAAAAAGACCTGAGTTCATGTTGTATGACCCTGGACAAGTCACTTAATCTCTGCTTGTCTTAATCCACTGGAACAGGAAGGGGCAAATCACTCCAGTAAATTTGCCAAGAAAATATTGTGGACAGTATGGTCCATGAGGTCATAAAGAGTCAGACCGAACAACAACAAGGTCCCTTCTACTTCTGAATTCTGTGATCCACTCAGAAAAAAATGGTATATGTCAAATTTGGAGGAATCAAGTTGGGGGAAAAGGGAGAAGAAAAGAGAGAAGTGGGAGGAAAAAAACAGAGAAGGAAAGAAAGGAGAGAGAGAAATTTGTGTTTTGTCTGGTTATACACATATATGCACACATATATGTGCTATGAAATAACTTCCAGTTACAAATTTTATGTATAAGATAAATTTGGTGTTATGATCGGTGATAAGGAGTAACACATAATTATCTTTCCTGCTTAACACTTGTTAATGTAGCATATCCTAGAAATACAGAGCTATCCTAGCAATTAAATCACTTGTATATAATATATATTTCACTCAGTGCCTAGCCAAATCAATGCTCTGTACACACAGTTGGTGTTTAATAAATGCTATTAAACTGAATGTCCTTAGCATGGGTTAACAGTTTTCTCTTTTGAACGTACACAAAGAGTCTCTCTTTCTCTCTCCCTCCTCCCACCCTACTCCCAAATATTGATAAACAGTAAAGCCAAATGAAGAGGCTGGAGAATGAGTTGGATGAGAAAGATCAGTGTGAGTAAAGTTAATGCAAATATTGCAGATCTGACAATTCTTGAAAAATGATCTCATGACAAGGCTGTCTAAAAAAATGCAGTGTGTAGCACAATTTTGGAATATGTATATATGATGGTGGTGGTGGTGGTGTGTATCTTCATTCCTGTGCAAACATTTTATAATATAGGAATACATTATCATCCGACTATCTTCTCCTAGTTGGAACTGGCCAAGAGAATCTCAAGCAACCTGCATTTTTCTTCATTTTTCCATGTAGCCTTTATTTTTTTTTTAAATCTTAAGATCATAGCTTTGGAGCTGGAAGGAATCGTTCAACACCCTTATTTTTAATAACAACAATAACAACTAGAATTTTATATAGTATTTTAAGGTTTGCAAAGTGCTTCATGGATGTTTTATCATATGTTCCTCACACCCACCTTGGGAGGTAGGTGCTATTATTATCCTCATTTTACAGATGAAGAAACTGAAGCAGACAGCAGTGACTTACCCAGGGTGACACAGCTAGTAAATGTGTCTGAGGGGGGCAGCTAGGTGGTGCAGTGGATAGAGCACCCACCCTGGAGTCAGGAGGACCTGAGTTCAAATCTGGCCTCAGACCAAACACTTGACACTTACTAGCTGTGTGACCTTGGGCAAGTCACTTAATCCCAATTGCCTAAAAAAATTTTTTTTAAAATGTGTCTGAGGCTGAATATGAATTAAGACCTTCCTAACTTCTGGTCCAGTGCTCTACCTAGCTATAAAACCTACCTCCTTTCTAACCACCTGTCCGCCAAGAGAAGTGATGTATTCTTTTCTTCTTAATATTATTGATATTTTATTAGCACATCAATTTGGGTTAATTTCACTGTCCCTTTGGGCACTCTTCCCCTAGGTTTCTTCTTTCATAGGATAATAACAAAGGCAGATATTTTTTGTAACACACTTTACAAACCCTCAAAGGGCTCCAGAAACTGTAGCTATTATTATTACAACAAATTTAGAGCCACAAAGAGCCCTTATATGACATCTCATCTAACTCCATCACATTATGGATGAGGAAGTCCCGGTTCAGGGAGGAAACGTGACTTGCCCAGCATCACACAAGGTACTAAACGGCTGAGGCGGGAATACTCCCCGGGTCTTTCGTGACTCAGAGGTCAGCTCTCCATCCTCTACACTCTGTCGCCTCCTTTCATCTGAGAGAGAGAGACAGAGAGAGAGAGAGAGAGAGAGAGAGAGAGAGTGAGTTCTTTGAAAGTTTTGAGAGTCTCTTGCTCTGTTTTAGAAAGGGACACATGTTGCGTCCTGCACAGGGAAAAGTTAGAAGAAACCTGTGAGTTACGACTTCCATGAGTTCAGGTCGTCAGGAAGCAGCCGCTTGCGGTGGCTGTGCAAACGAGCGTGAGCACACACACACACACACACACACACACACACACACACACTGTGACAGATGACCTATTGAAATAATTTCAGAGCAGCTCGGTGGTTGCTACGACAACCAATGCTCTCTTGGCTTTCATCTGGCCATGTGACAGCGACTTTGACGTCAGCTGGAGGCTGAGTCTGTGGTTTAGTCCATCGAGCCAAAGGCTTGTGAGAATCTGTTGGATGCTGGACTTATCTCCGTTTGCTTTCGCTGCTGCTGTGTCTGCTGCTGCCGCCGCCGCCACAGCTGCTGCCGCCGCCGCCACCGCTGCTTTCCAGGGGTTGCCGGAGCATGGACTATTAAAGTCCTGCATTTCTTCCGTGTGAGGTAACCACTTTGCTTTACATTCTAGCCAGATAATTTTAAAGCTTAGTGTGGTGATGTTTCACCCCATACACCCACCCCTGGCTGTTGCAAGTTTGTCTTGATGAGCAATTGGAGTATCTTTTTCTTTTCTTTTCTTTTCTTTTTTTTTTTTTTTAAGTGTGAGCCAGCTTCCAGTGGCCAATAATGTGTGCAGCCCCGGAGGCTCAGCTCATGGGGTGGGATGGTCCCAGCCAAATCATCCTTCCTGCTCCAGCATTTGCTCAAGGACCACACTGCCCCGGGGAAGCAGCTGGTCCAGCTTGGGCCAGATCGCTCCCTCCTGCATTCCAACAGTCGCTTTCTCTGACATTGTTTGGGATTTCAAACTCCGGCGCAGCCAGAACCACAGCGTCTCGTTCGTTACTTTACCATCCGCTACCCTCTCTCGCCAGCTCCAGCGAAGGACACTTTGAAACTCGGTTTCTATTTTCGTTGGCAGGGTTCATAATTAGCAACAATGGGAACAGAGCGAAAGGAACACCAAACACAAACAAAAGTTTGTGTGTGCGTGTTTCCTTTTAAAATAAGGTCCCTTTCAGTATGCATTAGGTTCGGACAATAGGAGGGAGGGCCTTTATCAGTTCCTTAGCTGTATACTGTGTACTGGAGTGTGTGTGTGTGTGTGTGTGTGTGTGTGTGTGTGTGTGTGTGTGTGTGTGTGTGCCCTGTACTGAGGATTGTCAACAGCTTCCTGTTAAAAAAAAAATTTTTTTTAAATTAAAGTCAGAATTGTGCCAAGGAAATGGTGCTGTATGTAACTGATGCTGGGTGTCCAAGCATTTCCTTTCCTTTTATATAGAAGTGAAGAATCTTAATATCTCCTTATCGCCTCCCTCTCCCCTACCAAAAAAAAAAAAAAAAGATTAGGGTATAAATTCCAATTTGTTTTGGAAAGTGACATTAGAACTTCTTTGCCAAAGGGGTTACTGAAGCTGCTTGGGTCAAAAAAAGGGAACTTAATACTTAAATAAGAAATGGATAGTTCCTATCCAAATCTAAAGGTAGTGTCTTTTACTCAGATGTATTGATGTAAAGATCAATCCATTCAAGACTAGATTGTGGTTGATACTACCACCAACTATTGCCTTTAAAGGTGGGGGCAGAATTGATGTTAGTTTGTAAAAGCCTATGTCCTGATAACTTTCATTGTACCTGGGTACATAGTCAATGGTTTAAGTTGCATTTTCTCAATACTGTTGTTCCTTTCCCTTTGGACCTTGGTATTCCTTAGCAGTTCTGTAACTGCCACAAGTAAATGATTTTGCATGTTGTGATTCTAAGGGGAAAAATCTGGTATTGGGGAGGTCTTTAAAGTTCTGATTTTTGTGTTCACCTAACCTCAAAGCCTTTTAACTTAGCACCAATTGGCAATCTCCCCTGATCTAATAGCATCATACCTAAGTGTTCCAAGGTCTGCAGAAGATTTAAATGCCTCATAATAAAAAAAGAAAATGCTTCTTAACTATTTGTGTATGCTTTGTGAAATGTCAAATTTCACTATGCCTGACATGTTACCTGAATTTTTAGTGACTTATTCTGGGTAGTGAGAAATAGATTAATGGTACTCAGCTATAATGATGAATGGGATAAATACTAATATTTGAAGTGATTTTCATTGAGTGTATGTATGTGTGTATATATATGTCTATATATGCATATAGACATATATATCGTATAAATATATACACCTGTACTTGTATGCATATGTACATGAATGTATATAAATACATACATATAAGCCCGGTAGGTGGTATAGTGGATAGAGTGCCTGGCCTGGAGTCAAGAAGACTCATCTTTGGGAGTTCAAATCTGGCCTCAGACACTTACTAGCTGTGCGACCCTGGGCAAGTTGCTTAACCCTGTTTGCTTCAGTTTCTTCATCTGTAAAATGAGCTGAAGAAGAAAATGGTAAACCACTCCAGTATCTTTGCCAATAAAACCCCAAATGGAGTCATGAAAAGTCAGACATGATTGAACAACAACAACAACAATAAAATATGTATTTACATCAATCATTTGGTCTTAATATTAGCTCCAGATCAGGGTCACCCATGCAGGAACTGCCAGATAGCATCAGTACATTCAAGTCACATCTACAAAGACAACATATCATGAATTCATCAGTTTTATAAATATAATAAACCAGAGGTTAAATTCTTAATATCCTTAGAAATATGTTATTTGAAATATTATTTTGCATTTGAGCATGGACCATTAATTCTGTCATCTAAAAACCCACTAAAAATCCCATCATTAAAAAGTGCCTTGGTGATAAATGACTTTTAGTCAAGGATTTAGATTGATCTGAATGGGGGAATCTTATTCATCTCAATTCCAGGGATCTCAGATTGTTCTGACACTGTCGTTACATCTCTCTTCACTTAGGAATAATAAAATAAGGAAGGCGTATGAATGTCAGAGGCATAAAATAAGAATATAGGAGAACTTAGCTGTTTGATCCTATGGCTCAGTGAGAAAATTTTTGTTGCTGTTCAACGAGCCCTGTGCTAAGAATATATTTGTTGATTTTTTCAACAATCAAAAATAAGAACCTTAGAGTTTAGAAAGGGCATGAGAGGTCATCTGACCTAGCTCTTTTTATGGCATTGAAAATATAGGTGTATCAAGCTGGTGTCAAAATCTTCTTCAGAAGAGTCAGACTGATCCCAGAAGCACAGAATCATAAAATTTTAAAGTTGAAAGGGCTCGTAGTAGTTATATTGCCCAACCTATACCCAAATAGGGATACACACTACTGACATCCTCAACAAGTGGTCATCTAGCCTTTGCTTGATCACTTCCTTACATATATAGGTTGGTGGGAACGGCATGATTTATTCTGGAAACTCTGAGTATGTTATGGTTTAAACATTTGTGTACAGTTAGTTGAATTACATATTGACAAAGCCAAAAGAGTTCATAGAACTGACTTCTTCCCCGTACACCACCCTGCCATTTTTACCATTGCTAACATCCATTTTGACCCTCAAAGTTCATAATAATATGTTTCCTCTATTTTGCTTGGAAACAGATTTGTGTGAGTACGAGGTATTAAAAAAAATTCCACCTTCCTTTGAAACTCCAAGTCAGCGTTGCATATACCTGTGGCAATTTGAAATGAAATACTCCTATCCAGTTGGATAGGCATTAAGAGGAACAATGCTAGTGTTAACTTAAAGTATGCAAGTCAACCCCTTCCTCTTCCATCAAGGTGTAGTTGTATATAGTACACACAAGGGTACCTGTAACTGTTCAAAGGATGCTAGTGCCTACACAAAGAATTCAGCATGGTAGATGAGATCTGGGTTGAAAACCTAAGAAAGGCCTCTTCTTTTCATTCCCGTAAAACTAGATATGGGCATTACGGAACCTAGCTGTTATCCCGGTTTTATATAACACACACTCATCTGGTTGAACAGGTTAGCAGCCCTCAATGCTTATGGGAGTTTTACATGCATCACACGAGAAACAACTATAGTGAAATCAATCTAAATCAGGGCTGTGATTTACTTGTATCAGTAGAATCTGAGGTTGGGGTTGCACAGTTGCAGATAATTGAAAAATAGAGAAAATTTGCCATATAATTCAGACCCTAACCTTTACCCCTCCTCTGTGCCCCTCCAAAACAATTTGCCTCATTTACTGGTAAACATAAGTAAGATGGAAGGGTTTGGTCTGAATTGTCCAGAGCAGGAGTGGAGAACCTGCGGCCTCAAGGCCACATGTGACCTTCTAGGTCCTTTTGACTGAGTCCATGTTTTACAGAACAACTCCTTTTTTTAAGGGGATTTGTTCTGTGAAATTTGGATTCAGTCAAAGGGCCACATTTGAGGGCCTAGAGGGCCACATGTGGCCTCCAGGCCTCAGGTTCCCCATCCCTGGTCTAGAGTCAATTCCATTGCATTCCATGACTATTTATTAACATTCTCTTTAATCATGTTATTGTAGTTATTGTACCTCATTTCCATACCTTGGTCTGCTTGAACAGACAGCCTGACTTTTCTTCTTAAACTAACTAGCAAACTTTTTAGCTGGTTGGTCTGCAGTGAAGCCATCCTTTGGAGTGCATCAGCATTAACCCTCCTAATGTAAGTGCATGGAATGAGAGCTGTGACATTTTGCGCAAGCTGTTATTTCAACTCCTTCCAGATGCCTAACATTTGAGATGGAGGCTTAGCAACTTCCCCTTGGTAGGTTCCCTGGGGGATTACAAAAGAGGATTTCCTAAAATGGTTCTCATACTTTGGGGAGAGAAAAGTGCACCTGCTTAATGGGGAATGCATGTCTCAGGAACGACTTGCTAAGGGAATTTGGGAAAGGGCTCGAATGCTTGACTTTGGTTATCCTGATTTTTAGTCCCTCCCAGGACAAAGAGTAAGATTTAGGATTGGCGGAAAAGCATTTAAGAATGGCACATGTCACACATTTCTGTTTAAGTAGAAATTGTGTGATTAAAAGCCAACTAGAAAGTGTGTTTTGAAATATACTCACTTATGACTCTTTCTAACAGGGACAATGGAAAATCAGGGATCATTTCTGCCTGATATTCAATATTCATATAGGTCTGTGATCTTACCAACCTAGAGTCTCCTACAAAAAAGACTGTGAACCCATCTATGACTGATATTAATATTATATGCAAAATCGTAGCTATTAGGGCTTTCTTCCTTCCCAAATGATATTACCTATATTTATATGGATATATATATATATATATATATATATATATATGTTTAAATGTTTTATCTTCCCTCTGCCTCTCCCCAGTAGAATGGAAGCTTCTTGAGGACAAGAACTGTTTTTCAGTTTGTCTTTTTATCTTCAGTTTATAGTACACACTGTGCCTTACACATAGTAGGCATTTAGCATGTGCTCATTGAACTGGTAAATATCAGAGCTCAGTGGGAGTGAAGTTCGTTCCTTAAAAGACAACCCGCTCTTTTATCTGTGTTGAATTTCAGTTGTTATTAGGATTTATGTCTTTTAAGAGCTTTTAATGGGAGACATAGCACCCATTTAACATTGACCACGCTTTTTGTAGGCTGACCGTGGTCCAGTAGGGTTGAATAGAATCTGCAGGTAGGAAACGACATGTCCATGTTTTCCAAGGGCTGCCACAGTGACCCCAAGAAATCTTCATGTTCCCCACAATTTTTTGTTCTGGTGCAAGGATGACATTTTCTAGGATGATCAGGATTTTCCTTGCCTTCATGAGCTTAACTCCCATCCTTAGGGGGATAAATGTTAAGCACTCTGTTTGCTATTTCTTGGCTCTTCTCTAGGCTCTGTGACTCCCACAGCCTTTGGGATGATTCATGCTGCCAAAACCACGATCTAGATTCGGATGACTGGGTATTTACAACAGCCTTGCAGATAGATCAGAAAAGATCAGCCTACAAAAGTCATCCCACACCTGCTGGTGATGATGGATTACATGGTGAACATTCGTAGCCTGAGGTATTATCAATCAGCCTCGTAACAATTTTTTATTAACTAACCAGTGCTGCACTTTATGAGATTCAGTGTGACCAGGAGAGATCTGGGTTCAGATCCCACCTCTAACACTCACCAGCCGTGTAAGTAGCCTTAGTAAGTCACTTAACTTTTCTACCTCGGTTTCTTCATCTGTAAAATAGAGATAATAATACCTATAGTATTTACTTCAGAGGGTTATTGTGAGAACCATAGATCTACAGCTGGAAGAACATTAGAAGCCCTCTAGTTTAACCCTCTTATGAGGAAAGTAAGGCCAAGATAATACAGACAGAAGAAGAACCGGGATTCAAATTGACAATTCATAGGCTTAGAGCTGTAAGCTCAGCTGTGTAACCTTTGAGTAAACTGAGACCCAAAGAAATTAAATAAGTAAATGAGACAGGATTTGGAGGTCCTTGGGTGCCAAATGCAGTTCTCTTTCCATTGAGGGAAATTATGAGGTAATAGGTGCTTTGCAAACCTTAAAAATCAGTTGTTTTACTACTGTAAGCCTTATGTCAGAGACCTCACTAACATGAAGGGCCCAGGGGTATCTTTTGGGAGATCACACTTCTCCCTGTCTCCCACCCTCCCACTCCCAGGGAGTCCCATTGCACAACTCAACAGGGTGACACCAAATCCCTACTTGCAAATATTGCTGGCCACAAGGTAGCAAAAAGGTAGTCTTATTAAAAGGACAAAAAAAAATGACTAACAACCCAACAATCATCGTATATTATGCAACAAATAACTGAGTAGTAGTCCATGATTTATCAATTTGGACTTACAAATAACCTGGCCTATATCTCTAAACAAGCAGAGGGAGAGGACAACAGGGTAGGGCCTGGCTTCTGGGTCTACTAGCCCTGAGTTCCTTGATTCTGATGACCTAGATGTTTTCTTTCTCATGCAAATATAAGGGGCAGCTAGGTGGCACAGTGCATAGAGTGTCCAGCCTGGAATCAAGGAAGACCTGAATTCAAATCTGTCCTTACACACTTACTAGCCCTGTGACTCTGGATATGTCACTTGACCCTGTTTGCCTCAGTTTCCTCATCTGTAAAATGAGCTGAAGAAGGAAATGGCAAACCACACCAGTATCTTTGCCAAGAAAACCCCAAAAGGGTCTCGAACACCCAGACACAATTAAAACAATTGAGCAACAACAAACATATAAATATAACAAGTTAACATGTCTTAGGCAGATGCAGAATAGAGCCTCCTCTTAGCATCTCTAGAGAATAGCTTTTCTCTTATACAGCTGTGGAAAAGTATCTTTTCTTGGGCAGATGTAGACTCTTATTTTCTCTTAAATTAATATATTGGGATTATGGGGAGGCACTTAGTTAAGTCAACAGAAACACCTTAAAGAAAAAAGAGATAACTCGCTAAGAATTAAGTTTGTAAAAAAAAAAAAAGAAGAAAAAGAAAAAAAAGGAATGAATTGCCTATAGAATTGTGAGTTCTCTTCTCCTCAATCAATCAATCCACAAGCACATACTGACCAATTACTAAGTGCCAAGCAATGGAGATACAAAGACAGAGTGAAACAATCCTTGACCACCAGGAGCTTACAGAATTTTGAAGCAGAGGGCTCTAGCAGCTGGGGGTGGGGGAGGATAGAAGGTAGGAAGAGAAGGAGTAAAGGCTTTATTTAGAAGGTGGCTGTTGAACTGAGCCTGAAAGGGAAAAGGAGAGTTTTCAAGAAGCTGAGGTGAGGGGAAGTACAGGCACAGGGACAGTGAAATTCCATGTAGGAGGAAGAGGAGAAAGGCCAGTTTTACCCGAGCATTGAATGGTAGAGTTCTTCCAGCAGAGTCTGACTACGTGTCAGGATGTTGTTGGGGGTGGGGAGAGTGGGTGATTTATATCTCAGGTGTGTGGTTGAACAAGAAAGACTTTGAGATCCCTTTCAACTTAGCTTCTGTGAAACCTCAACCATCCCTGCCTAGTATCCTTTCAACCTCCCCCCAGTAGCACTGGGCATCCCCTCCCCAAGGAGCTACTTCCTTTTTTTGTCCAGTGACTGGCAGGGCCCAGCCACCAACCTTCAGCTTACTCACATCAGGCAAAAGGTAGACTTCACGCAATCACCCTGGCCTCGAAGTGATTCCAGTCAGAACTCCCTAGTTAAACTGAGGCTTTAGTCTACAAAGCTAGTTAAGTGTGTGTGTCCTGGGGGCGATCACTTAGTTTTGATTTTCACCAACTGTCCTTCCTACCTTACCACTTTTCATCAAGTTCCAAGCTGAATAATTTTGGATATGACTTAATAAGCATTAGGGAGTTTTAGGTAATTGAGTAGGGAAGAACCCTGGTTTTGAAGTCACAGCATCTCTGTTTGACAGACTGGGAAAGTCACTTAAGGTCTTGGGACATTCGTATCCTCTTATATAAAATGGACTCTTTGGACCAGATGTTTTCTAAATTCCCATCCTGCTTTAGATCCTATGAAGTGTTATGATGAAATGGAGCATGAGTATGAATTTAGTGAACTAAATTTCCAATTTTTTTTAAAAAAAAATGTTACTTTTAAATTCAGACAACTTATTTTTTGTAAGTCTGAAATTATAGCTCAATCTATGGATCAGTAAATTGAGATAGAAAGGGAGACAGAGACATAGAGAGACAGAGACAGAGAGAGGAGGGAGAGAGAGAAAACTTTTAAGTACTTTAAGACCATAAATACAAGTAAGGAAGACAGTCCCTACCCTTAAGGAGCTTCTTTCCTTCCCTCCTTTCTTTACCTTCCTTTACTTCCTTCCTTTCCTCCTCCTCCTCTTCCTCCTCTTCTTCCTCTTCCTCCTCCTCCTCCTCATCCTTCTCCTTCCTCTTCTTCTTCTTCTTCTTCTTCTTCTTCTTCTTCTTCTTCTTCTTC